GGGTATAACAGTCCCTTTAATCAGATTCCTAATAATTGACACTTTGACTTTTCCCCCCTAGTTTTCATTATTAAAAACAATATTGCCATGACTACCCTTTTGTATTTATTTTTCTTGTGAGAAGGCAGATTTCCCAAGGTCAAAGCTACGAACGTTTTGAGTTTTTCAGATATTGCCAAATTGGACTCAAGAAATGTGTGGAAGAGAACAGCAAGACTATTTGTGCAGGCTTCAAAGGTGGACTTTCAATGTTACCTCCAGAGGAGGTATACATAATCATTGTATCTGTATGTTAAAAGCATTGATTTGCTAAACCTAAATAGATTTTAAATATACGTCAATTTTTGTAATTCCATCTTGGCATTTTAAAATACATACATTGTCAAAAAGTACAATTGGCTCAGGTCTCTCTCAAACTCTGAGAAGCCCTGACTTATTAATAATTATATCCCCTAATATCCTGATTGTCTCCCACATTTCATAGTTTTGCATTCTTTGTGTATATATTGGGTTGTCGGAAAAGTCATGGCACATTTTTGCAACGAAAAACAGAAAAAATACGTCATGACTTTTCCGACAACCATATATATATATGTATATATATATATATATATACATATATATATATATATAATTACAGTAGCCTGAGTCCTAATTAAATCAGAATCCTCTGCAGATGGGGCTCAGGATTATATATTATTATATTACATTATATTATATATATTTAATATATATTATATATATTTTTAATATATATTATATATTTAATATGGATTATATATTTTAAGCTGACCAGGTGATTTTAATGTGCAACCTCTCTCAGCATCCCATTCCTCAGTTCTCACAAAAGTGTAAACACAGAGACTCACTTTTTAAATTGCTTGCTCAACCCCTCCACAGGCATCTCCAACTCAGAATGTCCAAAAAGGACTCTGTCTTTCTAAGTTTATCTTAACCACCTACCACCTTCCATCTAAGTTTCCCAAGCCAGAAAAATACTAATTCCTCCCTCCTTCCCTCTGTTCTTCACCCATACTTGTACCTAAGTGTCAGTCATTCCAGTTCAATATTTCTGGAATCCCTCCACTTCTCTTCATTCTCAAATCTTTTCTAATCCCTCAATTGATCTTCCTACCTATGAACCATTTTCCACTCTGGAACTCAACATCCTACTTAAAAATCCTTCACTGGCTCCCTAGCTGAAAACAAAAACCAAGGCCTCTTTATAAGGTATGTAAAGGCTTCCCTAACTTGGGCTTTACCTCTGTCCAGCATCTTATTAAGCTCTATCCTGACCCCAAACTCTAACCATCCATGCACCCATCCACAGTCAGGGTGCATTCCTTGACTTTGTCCATGATGCAGTTTTGACGTTGCCCTTTCAAAACCCCAATTAAACCTGCAACCCAACTCAGATACTTTCTTCTAAATTCTAGAAATGTTCTCCCCGTTCCCTACAGGCTAGTTGCCCCTCTATAGTGCCTTCACACCACTTATCAAACTGGGTTGTAATTGACTGTTTATCTGAGCACTTTCTTGCCATTTGCATCCCTAATATATGTTACATATCAGCCTGGAGTATTCAATGAGTGAATGAAGAATTTTCTAGCCATATCTCAAGGCCAGCTGGTTCTTAGTACTAACTTCTAAAATCGCCTGGTCAAACTCAGATGTGATTTCTGCAAGGCTATATACAGAAGACTCTTGAGTTCTTACTTTTAAAGATGCCTCATCTGGCCACCTTGCCTCCTTCCCCTGAGGGATGAATATGAACCAAAACGGGAGCACTCTATTTGAAAAGCTGTAGGGAGGAAAGCCTGAAGAGAATATAACCCCAGATTCTTTTATGAGTTTTGGAAGAGGCCACCAGAGGATTGGAACGCTTCCCGCAGGGCAGGGCAGGGCAGGGCAGAATCCTGCGCAAAAGCTTTAGAAACTTACAGCAGCTCTAAATTTTCATCACAATCTTAGAGCTTCACAAGGTATACACCTTATAAGTGAATAAATTCCACAGATTTTTCTGTCTCCTTTTAGCACTATACTGTAGGTTGGTTTTCACCCATCTTGCTGAAAGTAGAACAGACCCTTGTGATGTATAGGTTTAACATTTTTGTGGGACTCCAGAGGTCCTGATGAGTGTAGTAATTTATTTATTTTTTAAAAAGATTTTTATTGGGGAATTGGGGAAAAGGGAACAGACAAGTTGCTATCCTTTTTTCTTCAGTCTAGTTGTGGAGGATGCTGCTTCACTGGCCCAAGTTGGCACCATCATTGCGCTCTTCCCGGGCGAGGCAGATCAGTCGCCGGCTTCTGGACGGCTGCTCACTGCGGCT